AGCCAACACCCAATGCTGCTCAGGAAAGTTGAAAAAAAACAACCCTACAACAATAGGAAGGAAACAAATTCCTTCCCACCTGCATGTAGTAACTAGCAAAGCCCAGAAATATGTGAAAACCAAACTCACTCCCCTCTGTTTTGCAACATGGGCATTCACACCCATCCCCTTTTTTGTCATCCTTTCCCCTCCAAAAAACTTATCCCAGCCCCTTTAATTTTCTTTTATAACTAAGCAGGATGTGGGGCTCTGCTTAATTTCCCCACTACTGAGTAGTGTTCTCTCCAATATCCCCTTGCTCTGGGCTGCAGCCATCGTCTTATGATTTCTCAGTGATCCAGTTAGGGCTCCCCTGTCCCCCCCTCCTTTTTTTTTGCAACTAGAACACACTGTTGGCTCATATTCAGCTTACAGTCCACCATAACCTCCAGGTCCTTCTCTGCAGTACTGCAGCCTAGCCAGGCTTTCCCCTCTCCGTATTTCTGCATGCAGTTAGTTATTCTGTCCCAAGTGCAGGTCTTTGCACTTGTACTTGTTGAATCTCATCTGATTAAGGACCATTTCTCCAGCTTATCTAGATCATTCTGAAGCCTAACTCCACCCTCCCCAAGTGTCTGCAATTCCACCTAATTTGGTGTCATCTGCAAATTTGCTAAGCATGTACTTCATCCCATCATTTAAGCAATGAATGAAGATAGTAAGCAATACCAGACCCAGAATAGACCCCTGGGGAACCCCACTTGATACTTCCTCCCAATTAGACATTAAGTCATTGAAGACTACTTGATGAGTATGACAATTCAACAAGTTATTTATCTACCTTACTGTACTTTTGTCTGGTATGTATTTCCTTAGTTTGTTAATAAGAAGTTTATGGGAGACGGCATCAAAAACATTGCTTAAATCAACGTATATCAAGTTCTCTGCTATCTCCCCATCCCGAGGACCTGTCACCTTATCATAGAAGGCAATCAGGTTGGTCATGGCATGATGTGCATGACTTGCTCTTGGTGAATCAATGCTGGCTGTTACTGACACCTTCTTCTCCTTTAGATGCTCCACAGTAGATTCCTTGAGGACTTTTTCCAAGATTTTTCTGGGTGTTCTGGCCGACTGTCACTGATTTGTAGTTTCCTGGGTGCTGCCACACTTCTACTCTCATCCACCAAGCATGAGTTGGTTTCCTTAAAGGCCTAACTTGCTTTTTGATTTTGAAATTGCATTTCAAAGTTCAGGGCTCTGCCTTGGATTACTATTGGCAGGCAGGGTGCCCCTGGCATTCCAGTAATGGCATCTGGCACAAGAACCCTGGGGACATGGCCAGCAAGGCTAACTGCATCTTGTCATGCATCCACAGATGCATCACGAGCAGGTCCAAGGAGGCAATACTCCCCCTCTGTGCAACATTGGTCAGGCCACACTTGGAGTACTGCATCCAGTTCTGGGCGCCGCATTTCAGGAGGGATGTGGCCAGCTTCAAGGGGGTCCAGAGGAGGGCCACTCCCATGATCAGGGGGCAGCAGGGCAGGCCCTACAAGCAGAGGCTAAGGGACCGGAACCTGTTCAGCCTCCACAAGAGAAGGCTGAGGGGGGATCTGGTGGCCATCTACAAACTGGCAAAGGGGGACCAGCAGGCAATGGGAGAGTCCCTGTTCCCCCAAGCACTACTGGGAGTAACAAGAAATAACAGCTGTAAATTGACTGAGAGTAGATTCAGGCCAGGCATCAGGAAGCACTACTTCACTGTCAGGAAGGCTAGGATCTGGAACCAACTTCCAAGAGAAGTGGTGCTCGCTCCTACCCTGGGGGACTTCAAAAGGAGGCTAGACAGACACCTAGCCGGGGTTGTTTGACCCCAGCATCCTTTCCTGCCATGGCAGGGGGTCAGACTTGATGATCTACGTAGGTCCCTTCCAACCCTACCAACTATGAAACTATGAACCAGCAGTCAGTTCAGACGTGTTTATAATGATGTCTTATTTTTAAAAAATGATTGTAAGAGAAATAAGCAGCTGTCATATCTGCTTCTGTGGAACTTCTATCCTTTCCCTCTTATTTTTCTCTTCATTTTCCCCTCCCTTATCTTTCCCTCCCACCGCATCTCTTCCTTTTTTTCTCTTCACGCTCCATTGGCTGAGTTACATGGCTGTTTTCTTTTGACAGTTCAGGTCACCTTTGGCATCTGTTTCTGCTCAGGTACTGAACAGTGAATCCACATTCATGTACCACATGGAAGGAGCTGGAGGCAGCTACCCTGCCAGCTCATCAAATCCACAAAAATGCCTCTAGCTTCAGGGTGTGAATCTGTAGAAAGTAGTGCTTACCACCCAGTAGCTGTACTTTAAAAATCACAATCCCTTTAAAACTAGGTTTATTCTACTGAACTTGTCAAAGGGTCTTCTACCAGTATGGGCTCAGGGCAGCAGCTGAGACCAGAGACTCAGCTTTCTGCACCTGGTGAAAAAATGGTATACACAGTACTTTTTCAATTGAGTTCACCCTTGTTGTTGTTGGTATAAATCAGTTACTGAATGGTTTGCCAACAGACTTGTGTCATCTTGTTAGTTCTCTCATTCCTTCCTGCAAAAATAAACATATTATTTAAGCTTTGGTTATGATTCAGAGCTCACTGTCCAGCTCCCTTCCGTATTTACTAAGTTATTAAGTAAGTAGAAACAGATTGAAACCTTACAAGTCCTCTTTTTTTAATGAAACTAGTATATTAAAGGGGGGGGAGGGGAAGAGCCAGGGTAACCAGGTTATCAAAGTGCATGGCATTTATCTTCTGTTTGGTGAGTAGGTCAAAACCCACCCGATCCCCAAGAACTGCAGTGCAATAGAGAAAAAAATGGAGTGATTGCTTTTCCAGTTGTCTAAAATGACAGTTGTCTAAAATGCTATTTGCATGCAAATAAAGGGAAGAGGGAAAATATATAAACAGTAGTCTCCGTATTGAAAAGCCATGTGCTAATTACTTTATTTAGTGGGGTTTCTTTGGTGACCCAAATAGACTGTTAGCACTTTAAGGAAGTGCAAAGCAAAAGCAGTTTGTTTTGTGGGCTGGCTTTTGCTTCTGGAGGAAAGTGAAACAGAGTCAGAGCTCCTTTGATTTTAACTCTGAGCAGTGCCTGGAAACATTTTTTTCCTTTCCCCCACGCACTCTTTTTTACTGGGGGCTGCAGCTGAGGAGCGATTCCAGCAACACTGATTCCTTCCAGGGTCTTCTCTCCCATCTTCTCCTTCCATTTAAAAATACGGTTCATTTCCCTCTTATGAAGCTGTCTAAGAAGTGAGTCTCCAGGACGGCTTGGAAAGAGGAGGGCTTGGGCAACCTGGCAAAATGGGACGGGAGTGACCGGGCTTCATTTTATCTGCACCTTCAGAGTGCGTCCAGACCAGTGCAGTTTCCCCAGGCACAAGTGTGTGGCAGGTTACCCCAGGTGGGGTAGGGAAGGCCGTTGCTGGCGCCAGCAACCTTACCTGGCTCCTCGGGGGAGAAAGCCTGGCTGGCCGCTGGAGTGGGGCTCCTGCCAGCCAGCCTCCAGTTTTTGGCGCTACCCCACTTCGGCATGGCTTTTTGACCCCGGGGTGGTCATAAAGAATCCACCGCACTGCACGGTGGCAGCGTGAGGAGCGCCTGCCCCTGAGGCGGCACCACACATCTCTCGGCTGAGTTTATCTGGGTGGGTGTAAGCGCGTGGGTCAGGGTTGGAGACAAATGACTCCGCATTTGGCCCCTAGCCCAGTGTCAGGCTGGTGCTCCTGGCTGTAGACAGAGGCCGAGGCGCTTTGCAGAAGTGCTTTGCGGGGTGGGCACGAGGCAGGGCCGGCGCCCGGGGTCCCGGCCGGCGGCGCTGAGGGCTGGCGAGCCCCGAAACCTTGTGGGAGCGCGAGCGGCGGGAGGAGCGCGGGGAGCCTGCCAGCCGCGTTAACCACACCCCGAAGGGACAGTCACCAGGGGGTGGGTGGAGAGACGGCGGCAAGTGCCGGGAGCTGCTCGCGGCGCGGTGGGAATAACACGGAACCGGCAGCGCGCAGGGTGCCGCCGCCGGGTGCGGGAGAGCGGGACCCGGGAGCTGGGAGCTGCCACATCGCGGCGCCGCCTTCACCCGCAGCCGGGCTCCCCCGGCACCGCCATGGGCTCCCCGCACACCCCGCCGCTGGCCCACGTCTTCAGAGGGACCTTCGTGCACTCCAGCTGCGCCTCGCCCGCCGACATCCTGCACGGCCGCCTGCTCGGGGTGGACGACACCGGGAAAGTGCGTGCGGGGCGCGCCGCGCCGCGGGCGGGGGATCCTACCGGGGAGATGTTCTATGTATATAGTGTATGTGTGTATTAGACAATATTGGGGGGTTGATATAACAGTATAGGCACATTACCATAATTACAACGTAATATTATATATTACATATATACTGTATCTACCCCCAATATCATATATATGCTATTATATAGCCCCCT